TCTTGAGATCTCACCAGATGGTTATAGATACTTACTCACGATAATTGATAGGAGGACCAGGTGGCCTGAAGCTTTTCCGTTACGAGACATTACGGCAGAAACTGTTGCCAAACATTTATATGAAGGTTGGATTTGTCGTTACGGTTGCCCGATAAAGTTAACTAGCGACCAAGGTCGCCAGTTTGAGAGTAGTCTTTTTAACCAGCTGTTAAAAATGTTGGGGGTTAATAGAATTCGAACTACTCCTTATCATCCGCAAAGCAATGGCGCAGTTGAACGTTGGCATCGTTCTTTAAAAACAGCACTTTCAGCTCGCCTGTCACATGGGTCCTGGGTGGAAGAGCTACCCACAGTATTACTTGGGCTTCGCGCGGCCGCCCGCAGTGACTCAGGGGTTAGCGCCGCCGAGTTAACGTTCGGACGAAACTTACGTCTACCGGGAGACTTTTATGACGGCTCTTCGAACAACCGTAACGTCAATGATTATTGTTTAGTGGATAAGATTAGAGATACTATTCGTAGTTATAAGCCTACATCCGACGATTCACGTAACTGTCATAGTTTTTTTGTGCACAAGGACTTACGTAACTGTGAATATGTCTTTGTTAGGGACGATTCAATACGTAAACCTTTGAAACCACCCTACGACGGTCCATACCGCGTGATAAAAAGGGGCTCAAAAGTTTACCTAATTCAATTACCCGATAGACAGGTACATATTTCTATCGACAGATTAAAGCCTGCATATGTATTAAAGGAATGTGATGGTAACGAAGCAACGCCACGCCAAAGTAACGCTGACAACGCAGCGGATGTGGCACCTGCGCATGTACGGTTTCCGTTACCACCGTCCACACCGCTGACGTCGTTGTTACCCGGCCCGAGCAACCCGATAACCGTGAAAACAACGCGAAGTGGTCGGATTGTTAAGTTACCTTCACGATTTATAAGCTAGTGTTAATATAAAATATATATTATACAATTACATGTCTAAATGATAATCAGGTTTAGTTACTATGGATGTGAAAGTATTATTTGCATTGTCAAGTGCATAATATTTTCATTCAGGATATTCAAGTTACATTATTTAAGTTGAATGTAATTGTAGAGGTATCGTGTTCAGTATTTTGCGTATACTGCACTTTCATATAGGTTCCAGGTAGCTAGTTTAGTTATAATGTATTTAATATAATTTCATTCGAAATACTTCCTTTGCGATAGCATTAGCGCGATAAGTTTTACGATTTTTACTATGGGTAATTTTCAAGAAAAACCAGTTATTGTTTCTCAAGCTCAAAATACTGTAGAGAATAAAGTGGATAATTTTCAAACATGGTTATATGTGATAGCCAGTTTTATGGGGGCGATAATCCTGTACACTATTTGGGTAAAGTTTAATAAGAAGTTCAAAAGCTGGCTTCGTCATCAGGTGTTAATGACAGGCGTTCCGATATCGGGCCAGAATATGGGTCAGATGATAGGTGCTTCTAGCACCAGTCTGCAGCATGTGCCCGCGCCCGCCGCGGCCGCCACCCCTTTCGCGGGGGTCTCCGTACAGCCCTGCGCACAGGCGCATTAGCAAGTTTTGTTGTTAGTTTTAAGTTTATATTCATTGTATAGTTTTAAGTTTTTTGTATTCATTTTTTGTAAAGGGGGAAGTATTGTAGGTGTGCTGCGCACACACATGTAAACTTCGCAATGTTGTATTGTAACTATATTATGTAGTGAATAAGATTTTTCAACCAGTCACTAGTTGCCCGCCAACTGTATGGCACGTTCCGCTATAATAAATATATTAGTAAAAGATTTCATCTTTCATTATGGTCACCAATAGGCACCCATATGGAGTCAGCTCCTAAATGTTCATTGTAAAGTCCCTTGCTTTTTTTATATTTTTGATGATGCTGGTCCCACTCCACATATACAGTACAGTCTAAGACAATCTGGTTACCGGCATCATGTAATGTTTCTTTTTTATACAAGGTATAGGCTTCACACATTTCGCACTCTTCATTACCCAAACGAGTAAAAGAAATATTAATTTTTTTTACGTGTTGCCTATATATTAAATACGAAACGATCTTATTTGGATATTTCTAATAGAAATGTCTATGCATGTTAGTTACTAATATCACTTCACAAATATCGTCGCAGCATGTTCACGCCTGTAGTGGGGTTCTGATGGGTGAAACGATTCAACGTGCTGAGTCAACAAATTACGATCATAAGCAAGTGTTTTCTGGTGCTTTCCTCTTTTATTAGTAAATTGGGGATCTATAAAAGAGCTATGCAAGATCCTGTCGTTTGTTTTAACATTACCTAAGGTAGTCAAAAAAAAAGGTTTTGCATACCTCAACTCTGGTGTCGTCTTGTTGTTTAACTTTAAATGTAAATACCCTTCTTGCTTTCCTCTTTGGGTCACTGGTCGTTTTTCTCTTTGGAACTGCTACTGAAGTACGTGCATTCACGAATAAATGCTTTTCTCGTCAGGACAAGTCCCAATACTCTTTATTGATTGCTTCTCGCCGGTCTTGACTGAATATAGAAGTACATTTTTTTAGGCAGGTTTCATTACACCCCGTTTTAACATTATGTTCTATTTTTTTTTTGGCATCTATTTTTCGCTAAAATAAGGGAGTGTTACATTTTATACGTTTTTGTTTTGGTTGTGATGTTTCAGGTTCCAAAGTGACTGCAACAGATTCATTGACTTGATACAATGTTTGATACGCACAATCCTTTCTACGATTTCGTGGAAGTAGCGACGCCGCAATATATTTATCAGGACAAGGAAAATTTATTGAACTTCTGCGTTTAATCTGCAACTTTTTTCTTTCATGAATAAAAGGAACAGTGCCATGAACGTCTATAGTTAAGCTCTTCGTGACCACAGCAGGTGTAAATATGGATTGTGTACCCTTTTTTTAGAACTTTCGTTTGTTTGTAACACTTGGGACTTTTGGCTTCTTGATTTAACTAATTCAAAATCGTCACTTGAATCAGATGGGAGATAGTCTTAATCACGTACAGAGTCGTTGGAATCAAAACCACATTGCAACGCGTACGTTCATGAACTTATATAATTTTGTTCAGTTACATTAAATGAGAGTTCTTCTAACGACATCACTTCGTTGCAGGTTAAGTCAATTTGCACCTTATCAGAATTTGGTAAAGCATCATGGCTCTGAGCAGAACAAGTTTTAAAATTTTTATTTAAATTATTCAAGATCGATGAATGCACATGTGAATTATAAGTACTTTGCGTATCACATAAGTTTTCAAAAACATTGGACGTCATCCAATAAGGCATATTATAGTATAATGTATCAAAATGCAGTAGCTTACGATAAGGACTTTTATTCCTTCTGCTAAAGTTCTCAAGGTCAATTATGGTGTCTGTATTATCTTTCTTCTTAATCATGTCTAAAATGTTTTTGGATCTTTGTGAAATAGCAGTGCGCCTGTTACAATTAAAATGTTCTCTACAGTATCTTCAATACATAGTATTCTAAGGTCTACGAAATGTAACCATTTTATCTTTTTATTTTAATAGAAAATATTTGGTTATTTGCGAAGCTATTTTAAACAATATAGTATTGATACTTGTCCAGTAAAATGTGCTAGTTACCGAAGGTATTTATGTAGATTAATAGTGTAATTTACTTCATATTATTTAAATTAATACTTTTAATACATCACAGATTCAAAATGATGCAGAAAAAAAAGTTGTTTGCGTGATGAGACCGAAACTTTTTGGACCGACATACAATTAATATTTACCCATTCTGTATTCTTTACTAAACCGACAAAAATAATAATCGTAATTAAATAATGGTAGTTGTCAGCTATTGTAACAATTGGCGGGAATGCGGTGCGTGACACGTCCTTCCCGTTAAACTTTAGTGAACTGCTTCATCAATCGAGAGAGTCTCGGGAGGCCGCGGATCGAGAGCGAGCGATTCACTACCATTAGTACATAACCGCGTTTTAGGGGTGATTCTCATTAGAGCGGGCCGTGCCAGGGCCGGGGCGTGGACGAGCCGGGGCCCGTCCGTGCTACACAATTTATATTACACCGAGTGTTAAACGGGTTAATACGCCGCCACAGTCGCTTCGAGGTAGTGTAGCGATGTGAATAACTCCCGATTATTGTTTTTTTTTTTTATAATGATGGAGTTTTACTGGAGATGGCTGCTATTGCGATAGCTATTGATGAACAGGAAGTAGAAACTAGGAGTAAGAAGAAACGGGCTAAACGAAAGTTGAGTGTGCATCCTCTATGGAGAATGCGTAATTTTAACGGAGAATTTAACACCTTATGCAGATACTTAGCAGACGATGAAGATAAATTCTTTGGATATTTTAGAATGTCCAAAAAAACTTTTACATTTTACTAAATGAGCTGAAGCCCGCCCTTAGAAGACATCAGACGAGATTAAAGACACCAATAGAACCTAAACAACGTTTAGCAGTATGTTTCAGGTAATCACTATGAAATAAATAGATAATGTTATTGTACTTATTTATGTATTACAACACAAATAATTACTAATAATTTATTAGTTAAATAAATATTAGTAATTATTTATTTAACTTTTTTATTATGTAAGATATTTATATTATTTTATGATTCTTCAACCCGTTGAGTCGGATTTTGGGGACAACTACTTGAGGGATTAAATTCCGTAAAAAATATTGATAGATCTGTGTCTAAAGAATTATCCTCTTGTTGTGTCAATGGTGGTGGCGGTGGCAGCGGGAGTGTCGGAGTAGATACTGCTGGAGATACTGAACCCGATGTTGGTGACCTATATGATTGGGGATCAGAGCTCAACCATTCCCATTCTAATTCCTGAACAACTTGGAATATTCTTCCTTTTGCTAAGTGTTGATAATAGGGGGATAATCTTTCGACCGTCGGTATCAAGCCCTTGAAAAAAGCATCGATATGATCAACTTCCTCCTTGTTTTTTTTTTTTTGTTATCAATAATATATTACATTAGTGAAGCAGAAGCCGAAAGTTCTGATGATGAAGACGAAGGTTGTGAGGTCGTTTTCTTCTGCGGACGAGCACAAGCTTGACTATTTTTAATGTACTTGTACGTTGAGATAAATTACGTGCAGTTGTAGGTGTATAATTTGCTAGAGTATAATTTAGTACGTTTGTTGGAGTATCATTTAATGGAGCAGTTGGAATTTCATTTAATGCAGTAGTTGGAGTTTCATTTATTGCAGTTGTTGGAGTGTTCGTATTATCTTGAGACGTCTCTTCAGATTCATTGTCATTAGAAATATTTTCGATCACTTCTCTGTCCTCTAAATGTACAACCAAAAATTGTAGCATATCCTCGTATTTATATTTCCTTAATTTTACTGCTGCTTGGCCGCTTTTCAATTGTCTTTTATTTAAATTTTTTTTTTAATTGGTCCCTTATATTCGTCCATCTTGATCTACAAGCGGTAGCTGAAACAAACGATCATAAACATAACATTTTGATAATTTTGTGAATTTCGAGTTAAATAGATTAATAGTTAAGTAGACGACCTCCATAGTGAAACGGAAAAACATGCTCGATTTACCATTCGGAAGTCCCCGATTTGAATCTCGGTTGAGCAAGTTTGAAAAATTTTCAGTATTTTAGACGTTTATCTGTATATGTATTTATTATAAAATATTTATTTATTTAATATAGTATTGTTAAGTAAGTATCCTCTAACACAGGTCTCAAACTTATGTGATTTGTCCTCTTATATTTAAAATTTGAAATCTTGTTTTTCAGATACTTGGCAACTGGAGATTCCTACTTGACTATTTCATTCAGTTTTCGGTTGGGTGTCTTGCTATTGTTAATGTACTTCTAAAAAAAGTTATGCCCCAACCGTCAGAAGATAATTGGAAACAGATAGCACATGACTTTGAAACTTTGTGGAAATTTCGTAACTGTATTGGGGCTTTGGATGGAAAGCATTTTGTCATTGAGGCACCATCTAATAGCGGTTCTATATTTTATAACTATAAGAACACTTTTTCCATCGTACTTTTAGCGCTCGTTGACGCACGTTACAAATTTATTACAGTTAACGTTGGATCATATGGAAGAAATAGTGATGGTGGCATTTTTGCAAAGTCTTCTTTAGTACAACGACTAGAAAATGGAACACTAAATGTACCTGCAGCAAGGCAATTACCTAACTTGAATATTATTACACCATTCGTTATAGTAGCCGATGAAGCGTTTCCTTTAAAAACTTATATAATGCGACCTTACCCAGGTAGCCAGATAGTAGGAGATGCTGCTAAGTCACATTTTAATAACAGATTAACGCTAGCATGACGTCTAGTTGAATGTGCTTTTGGTATTTTAGCACAAAGATTCAGATTGTTTTCTAGAAGAATCAAAATGGCAACAAAAAATGTTGATAATATTATATTAGCGACTTGTATACTTCGTAACTTTTTACGCAGAAAAAATGACATGGTTTTTACACCACGTTATACAGAACAATCTATATCAGAATTAAGGCAGTCTATTCTTAATCCACTAGGACCACAACATCACAGACAATATACTAACGATGCATTTGCGGTCAGAGAAAATTTTAAGAACTACTTTTCATCACCATCCGGATATTTTTAATAAGTACAATTGGTTATAGGATTTATATGTATCCAGGTTGCCATACTAAACAGTATACCAGTCTGGACACATATATCCCATAACTGATTGTACAAAAAAGATAACAAACAAACAAAAAGAAACAATAATAAGTATCATAGTTTTCTATAAAGGTACATAAAAAAGCATGTTTGCTAGTAGTACATAATAATATGTTGCAAGTAATAAATAAGACTGATACGACATTGAATTTAATGTCAAATGATTTATTTCTAGTGGGGGCAGCACTTTCTCATAGATCCTCATCTTAAGTGACAAATAATAAATAAAAAAATCTTAAAAATAAACAACTAATAAACTCCGTTCAAAATGCAGTGATACAAAATGAAAACAAAGAACAAACTTTTTTGATACGACGTCGTGCAGATTTGAATAAAATCTTGTTTTCTTTCTCTTAAGTAGTCTTTCTAATATGATCTAGGTATAAAAAATACATTTAGTAAAATATAAAAAATACGTTTTAGGTTATCTTTTTGTTTACATTTTGTCTAACTGCATTTTGAACAGAGTATACTCGTAAGTATTTGTACGAATAATAGACGAATATTGATTGCATTCCTCATTGTTGTATGTCGTTTAATACCTATATGTATCTGTGTTTACAGTTGCAATAAATGATTTACTTTGTTTTATGTAGAACCTAAGGAAACGTAACCCTAAAAAACTATGTGAGTAATTCTTAAATAAATTGATTAAAATACATACTCACCTGTTTCATTTAATTCATTGCCAATTGTCGTCCATAATGACATTTTGAATTTTGTATCCATATTTTTTTGATGGGACATGTCATACGACTCCGGATACTTTCGGACTTGTTCAATTAATTTTTCATCATCCATTATCCGCAAAGTAATGGATGGAATAATATTGCAACAAAAGAAACTCAGTTTCCAAAATCTTCTGTAAAACAAACTTGCACGTGCGTGTACCCTCACTAAAAATTCGTCGTCAGAGCTCGGACGCAGCACGGAAGAATGTTCCGATTATGACGGGACGTGGAAGGTGCGGGGCGGGACCGTGCAACAAACGTGGTATTGAAGTGCGTCGAGCGGGCCCGGTCGGGACACGGATAATGCACTGTGTAATATAAATTGATTCATAAAAAATATATGAAACAGATTAAAACCGTGCCCCGTCCGGGCCCGGCCCGGGGCACGGCCCGCTCTAATGAGAATCATCCCTTAGTGTAGTATATGAGGGATACCTGCATTTATGTGATCGACGTGATAAGCAAAATATTTATATTTTATATAGATAATGCCGTTATTGGTGTAATTACTACGAAATCTCTTAAAAACACATCTATATACTACGCATAAATGCCGTTAAGTGATTTAGCGACATTTTTGTCTAGTATTTTCATTTAACGGCTTTTTAGCGTTTGATTTAGAACACTGTAATTTGAAACAAAGTAAAACTATAAAACCGTTAAAGTACTTTAACCTCATAATAGAGTAGAAAATTCTATTAACGGCAATTTAGTCTTGCAACTGATGGAAAACACTCTGGGAAAAAGTTATATTATCAACCCTTAGTCACTTTTTAGTTTAATAATGTTGCTTACCTACGTTTTAGCGTAGTAAACATATCAAAGAAAGCAACTTAACGGTGTTTTTCTTTTTTCTATCTCGGGATCCATAAATAGTAGAAAAATACTCCTTAGACAGAAAGATAGTGATTTTTTTCTGATTATGGTGATATCAAAAAACGAAAATCGACCAGATGCGAGATAACGGCATTATTGCTTACGGACGGCAGCGCAGATGTCTAGTCTATCTACATATATCATCATATGGAAACTAGCTGGCACGGCAAACATTATTCTGCCCTTTCCGTCAGGTTACAATTAGCTGCAGCACGGCTCTACCACGCACATAGGTCGTAGAAAATTGATAAATCATAAAGCGAAAATTAAATTATAAATAACGGGAAATTCAATACTGCAGACAAGCAAAGAAGCGCTAACCGGCGTGTTCAGCGACATTCTTGATCGATTCTGGAATGTTTCCAGTTATCCTGTATTTTATAGCTCCTCCGGCGTAGTTTATTTGCCATAAAGCGAGACGGCCCGGGGGAGCGTTTATCTCAACAGAGTAATAAAAGCCTGGTACCTGTTTCTGCAGAATTTATCATTTCTGTTTTCTTAAGACTACTTTTTTACTTTATTATGGCTAAGGCTTCTCTTTAATACGGTTGTAGCTTCCCTGGGTGTATTTAAGTTTTCAACTTCCCGCTATGAAAACAAATGATTTTCAAAAACAAATGATTTTTATGTGTTCTAATTCTATTTTTAAAACTTAAGTTTTCATTAGACATGGAGCGAGTACTCGGTTTGGATTCGGTACTCGGCGAATTCGGCCTTTTTTTATGGTTCGGCCGAGCACCAAGTATTAACGACCGAGTACCGAGTACTCGACCTTAATTATATTCCAGAGAGAAAAGAAGATAAAAAGCCAGTAGTTTTTATTATCATTATTATTATATTAGACATAGGTATTAAAACATCAGCAGAAATATTGAGAACGTACATAAGAATTTATAATAGAAATTATTATTACTAATATTTAAAATTTAAGACGGGGAGATTGTGATGCAAAAGCACTTCATTGTAAACTGAACTGTCGGATATTGATAAGTATTAAACCGCAATTTTTGCCAAGATAGGGTAATGGCATTTATTAGAAATCTACAATTTATATGGATTTGCATCTCTTATGCCAATCTTGACTTGATATTGTTTACCACTTTATTATTATATATATCTTGAATGACATTTTCGCTAAAATATTTACGGCTTGTCGCCCTTGAGGACTAAAATGGAATGCCTCGTTTCCAGTAAAAACGGTCTCCGGTCCCTACACACCATACAAAGCTGCTGTTTTACACTGTTATTCAAGAAGCGTGGTTCTTTCCAGGTCGAGTCTAGTCATTCATGCTAATATAGCTGCAGCGTGGCTTTACCACGTAAATTGTTTTCTTAATAGATTGCACGGATTAGTAAGCAGAAGTGGCAATTAGCCGGCCATTTAGCTCGAGAAACCGAAAGCTTTCACTAGATGAAGTGATGACCTGGTAAAACATGCAGGAAGACTTTGGATGTAGGTGGCTCAGGATCGTGATTTATGGCATTCCTTGCTGGATGTTTTGCCGAGGTCTTGCGAAGGTCGGTAATTACTTACTTCCCCATGGCCTCGTAGGAAAATTGTGCCATAGTTGTTGTGAGTTGACAACCAAAGTTTATTATATTGAATTGTTATTATGAAGATGGTACTCTCCTATTTTAGATTCCCTTTATCGCATTTTACGACACCCACGGGATCATATTATTTAGTAGTGGAATGCTATACGATACGCTATCGTATGTAATGTACCTACTCACCAAATTGTTTTGAGTACTGCGTTAATTTCAAATGGCGCATAAACTATGCTCAACTTATTGTAAGAATACGCACTTACGCACACGTGTGCATCTAAAGCCTATAAAACCATCAACATAGTTTAATTTGCATGTTTGTGAGTCCTGCAATGAATTTTTGAAGACTGTTAAAGAAAGAAAGACGAAAGATATTTCGGTATCACTTGAAATGTTAGAAGCGCTCCGTCCTAGATATGTGTACATCATTCATTTCTAGCGACCGAATGATTCTAGTACATTTCGTCACGC